GCCTTGCTAGGGGTGGTTGGTTTGGCCAGGAGATCAACCCGCCTCACTGGAATGTCAGGTCTGCAGCTAGGCCAGAGATTCTGTCCTTCTGACCCACAGGACCTTTCTCTTAACAGGCCTTCATTGCTGCTTTAACATTCTGCTCCCCAACCCTCACCCCCACGCCCTCCACACACAGAGGTAGCCTTAGAATCATTTGTATAGTACCCAGATGTAGGCAGGAAAAGAAGTCCTTGCCTGATGACTGGAAAGAGAGTGAGGGGGAGTAAAGAGGCAGGGAGCAGAGTGGTGGTGGTGACGGAGGCAGCGCATGCCTTTGATCCCAGCACTCAGGAAGCAGAGGCAGGAGAATTTCTGAGTTTGAGGCCAGCCGGGTTGATAAAGTGAGTTCAGGAGCCAGGGCTACACAGAGAAACTCTGTCTCAGGAAAAAGAATGTATTAAATTATGAACTTTTAAACTTTGTAGTTTTCCTTCTCATTTTGGAAACATCCAGCCATCTTAATTTCACATATCAACACTTCCTCACTAAAACAGTTTCGCAATTTCATTTTTGTTTGTTTGCTTTTTTGAGGCAAGGTCTCACTATGTAGTTCTGGCTATCCTGAAACTCACAATGTAGACCAGGCTGACCTTGAACTCAGAGAGCTGTGTGACTATGACTCCTGAATGCAATTTCCATTTTTGCATCTTTGTAACATTCTTTTACTTACTGTTTTCCTGTCTTAATACCATGATACATTGTAACAGAGCCCCAGACTTTAGTAGGCCCCAAGACCTTAGCACAACTGACTCCATGTTGGAAGTAGCATTCAGGCTTTAAAGCTTAGCATGTAGCCAGCACCACCCACCAAAACTAAAATGAAGGTCTAATATATAGTTCAAGAAAAGTCTCTTTTAAAAAGTCTCTAAATGTACTAACCTTCTCTGGTTAGTACAACATAATAACATTAAGAAATGAATTTATCATCTGTTATAAAAACTTTTTCTCTGGGGTGAGGGCAATGTTGTCCCCTCTTCATAAGAACCCAATGACAAACCAAACTGGTTTCATCAAAGTTCACCCTGGGAGAACCAGTGAATCCACTGAACTTACTTACAGAGCATGAGTGAAGAGTTACTGACAGGAAGGAGTGTATTCTTCATCCAGTATGTATGAGGGCTTCCCCATCGCTGTATATGTGGTCCCCTCTCCCTAGTCTTTCCCAACCTATATCCTCTAGCCCCACCTCCCAAACCAGAGGCCACATCTGATTAGGACAGAATTACATACAGCTGGTTGGGAGGAAAGGCTAGTTATTCAGATGAGGGTCCAATGACACTCCATAGCTACTGCTTCTACAAAGGAGCACTTACAATCAACAAACCCAGCTGTTGTGATCTCTTACAAGAATCCACAGCTGGTCTTATGAGGATAGCAGTTGTTTGGCTTAGAGAATACTGCTGCATTGTACCATCCTAGTAAAGAAAGCTGAATCCAAGCTGTGTACATAAGATAATGTAATAAAACAATAATACTTGTGCATAGACTTAAGCTCCAAAGCCTTAATCCCCAGATAAATCTTGTAGAAAACACATGGCATCTTTATATGTATACATTCCATTGGTTCTGTTCCTTTGGAGAACCCTGAATAATTACATCATCCTGGCCACCCAAACTAGAGCCCCTGTAGCTTCAATAGTGTGGCCTTTTCCTTTGTTTAATTATTTGATTCTGATTTCACTTTAACATTTTAATGTTAACATGGCATATGTTTGCTGGAAAAATAAGTAGGAGGTAACATGGAAGAATTAAAACAAAACAAAAACCCAATCCCCTAGCTCTTATGCAACCCGTGATAGCTTTGTGGTGATTTGTTATTCTGACCTAATTCCTTTGTCAATTTGCCCTTCATTTTGTTCTTTCTCATGAATCAGATGGCTCATGAACATGTTATGTGCTAGCTTTAGATCGCAGGGCCTTCTAGCCCCCTGGCCTCCCAGCTGGTGCTCGTCCTCCTGGGGACTTGGCAGGCTCATGTTTAATCCAGGAAACATCAGTTTGAAACATGGCAGCAGGGCTAGGACTGGAGTTCAGCTGGTAGAGTGCTTGTATAACATATGGGAAGCCCTGGTTTTATGCCCCACACTCCATAAACAGGGCATGCCAAGTTTAGTAAGTCCCAGAGCATTAGAAGTTCAAGGTCATCCTCTGTCTTTAGAGAGAAGAAACCCCACTAGAAACAACAACAAACAAACAAACCACATAACAGTAGAGTTTGGGGTAAAATTCCCCAGGTTCATGGAAGGAGTTGAACAGCAATGAGGGAACACTGACACTTTTCTAAGATTGTTGGCTATACTTTCTCTCTGCTCTTGTTCTGTGCTCCTTTGTAGTATCTAAAGTGGTATTGGACCACATCTCACCTGGCCTGCTGCACATGGCTTGCCTTTTTCCTTCCTTCCTTCCTTCCTTCCTTCCTTTCTTCCTTCCTATTTATTTATTTATTTATTTATTTATTTATTTATTTATTTTGATATGGGGGCTTCTCTATGTAACAGTCCTAGCTTGCCTGGAACTCACTTTTTAGACCAGGCTGGCCTCAAACTCACAGAGATCTGCTTGCCTCTGCCTCCTAAGTGCTAGGATTAGGGATGTGAGTCACCTCTGCCTGGGCAGTTTTCTTAATGATGGTGCTGTTTCTTCCCACTGTTAAGCTAGAGCTCCAGGGAAGATGAAATGTTACTTGAGTGCACACTGACAGGTTCAGCTCCCACTGTATTTCTTTTCTTTGTGTGTGTGTGTGTGTGTGTGTGTGTGTGTGTGTGTGTGTGTGGTGACATAGTTTGTGCTGTGTTATGTTGTCACAGGGTCTCATATAGATCAGTCTAACCGTAAACTGACCGTATGGCCTAGGATGACTTTGAACTAATGCTTCTTTTATCTCTCTAGTGTTGGGATTGCTGGCATGTGAAGCCACATCCAGTGTGTGTGTGTGCATCTGTGTGTGGGTGTGTGTACTTGAGCATGTGTATGTTTCTGTAATGGGAACAACAACAACAAAAATTCCTCTCATGTTTTTTCCTTGAGTAATACTTAGGACTGGCACGTTCGTTGCTTTTTGACTTCTGTAGTTCTGCTTCTGGCTAATTGTTCTTGCTAACAGAACTATACCAACCCAGAATATGTGTGTGTGTGTGTGCGCTTAAAAGCTCACCCTGAGAAAGAATCAGGACTATGCTGGAATTCCAAAGACCCAGTGTCATCACTGGCCAGCTAATAAAGACTTTCTATTGGCTTTAATCCAAATCTGAGCAGCCTTCTCTGGTGAATACCCCACAACACTGACAACTTTCTCCAAGAACACAAAAGACATGGAACACTAACAAAATGTATGATGCTTGCTTCTTTTCAAAGAACGTGAAGGAAAAGAAATGCAATTTTATGCTTGACATATCTTGAGTGAAATTATACAGTTCATATTTTTGTCCCCTTTTTGCTGGTAGATTGGATCTTAACTTCTGAATGGTGCTCAAGGAAACCATTCTATTCCAGAGTGTTCAAACTTCTGTCAGCTTCAAAATATCTCTAGTTGCTTACTGGTTGATTATCACTGAAGGAGAAATGACTCATTATCTGTTATGGGCATACTTAAGTCTCTGGCTCAAACACCCTCAAGATGGAAGCTATCTTAGGTAATACTGATGCTTTCCTGGGCAATTTTCTATGCAAAGTATTAGGGTTGTGGATGAGGTTTGTTCAGCATTAAAGACACCCTTGTGTGTCAGCAGGTCAGACATCCCTATTTATAAATGCCGAGTCCCTATTTATATTTAGTGTTAACAATAAATGCTGAGTCCCTCTGTATAGCTAGAAAACAGCCAATTTAAAATGTTCCTTTATAATAGGTAGAACAAAAGGTGGTTTTCAGAAAGCCTAGTACCCTGTGATCATTGCAATAAAGCCTGAAGCTTTATTTAGAAGACAGTTCTTCTGATCAGTGTCCAGGGGGGCCTTGAAACTTCTGGATCTTATCAATAGGAAAGAAAGGAGAAAATAATCCCCCAGCTGCATAAACAACCCTATCTGTAAACATGCTTCTAAGTGAGTTTGTTTCCTTCATTTAGTTGGCATCTGTTTAATTTGAACCACTGCTTTTGTAAATATTGACTAGGAATAGAAAGCTACTTTTAACAGCAAGTTGGGTCTGATACTGGTGCAATGTCAGCAATAGAGAAACTGAGGCAGGAGGATGACTCATATGAGAGCCTAAGACATAGATAAATGCAGGTGTTGTTTATCTATCTCCTGTAGGATTTCAAACTGTCATGTTTTGTATCACATTTGGTGGTGGCTGGATGTAGCTCCATAGTAGAGTGCTATCCTAGGATGCTCAAGGCACTGGGATAGATCTTTAAAAATGGTGAGAGGTGATCAATTTTTGTTCTTAGGTTTTCTTCTGTGAATCTGGCTGCCAACCTTGGACTTTGCTGCCTTCAGGAGCCACCTCCTTTCTAGACGCTAAACCCTTCCTCACACTCCTTCCCAGTAGCTTCTCTGAGACACCAACATTTGATGGGAAGGGAGCAAAGGACTTCCCGGTTTGGAAGAGACAGCGACTGTTAAGAGTTCTCATTACAGGCAGAATACAAGTTTTTGGTTAGACTTGAGAACCCAATTTCCAGTCCTGGCATGAGGCAGATTTGAGAGGTGCTCCGGGCAGCACCACGGTCAGCGCCCGCTGAGTCAGCCAACAGTGGCTGCCGCTTGTAGCGAGCTGTGAAGGGGGAAGAAGATGCCTCACCCAGCAGCCGCCAGGGACCAGACAAGCCACTCCAGCCCCCTCTAGGGGGAGTGGCTATGATCCAGAAGGAAAACTGGTAGGGTAAGGGTGAGAAGAATTAACTTCTTAACTTTGTTTTCTAAGGAGCGCACCCAGTTGTTGTTCTTTGAAAAGTGACAAGAGAGGTGAGTCTTTCTCCTGCCCATCCCCCACTCCCAGTAAATAAAGACAACACACATTTTATTGCAGCAAAACAGAATGGCTGGTTTTAATGCTTCAAGTTTTCCATTTCCTTCCACAGGGCTTTGTTTGGAAAATAACAAAATGAGGTAAAACGAGTCAATCTATGTACAGGTCAAAACCAGGTGCCAGCTGCAGTGGCATCGATGGAGCATGGCGGAGGATGGGCCGCTCTGCAACCGCAGCATAATTGTCGTCCTGAGGAGAGAGAGTGTACACAGATGAAGGTGCGCCTAGAAGCATTTGCGGTGCACAATGGAGGGGCCGGCCTCATCGTACTCCTGCTTGGTGATCCACATCTGCTGGAAGGTGGACAGCGAGGCCAGGATGGAGCCACCGATCCACACTGAGTACTTACGCTCAGGGGGGGCGATGATCTGTAAGACAAGAGTGTTAGGTGCCTGCGTGTCCCCCCGCCCCTGGGTCTCCACCCAAACTAGGCATGCCATCCACCTTGATCTTCATAGTGCTGGGAGCCAGAGCTGTGATTTCCTTCTGCATGCGGTCAGCGATACCAGGGTACATGGTGGTGCCCCCTGACATGACATTGTTGGCATACAGGTCCTTCCTGATGTCAATGTCGCACTTCATGATGCTGTTGTAGGTGGTCTCATGGATCCCCGCAGATTCCATACCTGGTGCCCAGGAAGAGGAAGTGTGAGCAATCACACTAAGGCCACCGGTGTTTTGAGACCTGGTATTCTGAGGAGGCGGGGGGGGGCGAGGGGGGACCGGACGGGACGGGACTGGACAAATCCTGGCACACCAGCCTAACAGGCAGGCGGCTCACCGATGAATGAGGGCTGGAAAAGCGTCTCCGGGCAACGGAAGCGCTCATTGCCAATGGTGATGACCTGCCCATCAGGCAGCTCGTAGCTCTTCTCCAGGGAGGAGGAGGAGGCAGCTGTGGCCATCTCATTCTCGAAGTCCAGGGCCACATAGCACAGCTTCTCTTTGATGTCGCGCACGATCTCACGCTCAGCTACAGGGGCAGAAGCAATAGGGAGGTCTCAGTGCAAGGTCTGGGGCGCATGCTCTCCCCTCCGCGGCTCGCCCTCCGTAGCCCGCCCTCAGCCGGCACTGAAAGCACGCGCACCTGTGGTCACGAAGGAATAGCCACGCTCGGTGAGAATCTTCATCAGGTAGTCAGTGAGGTCACGTCCAGCCAGATCCAGACGCATGATGGCGTGTGGCAGGGCATAGCCCTCATAGATAGGCACGTTGTGGGTGACACCGTCCCCAGAATCCAACACAATGCCTGCACAGGGGACGGGCAGTGAGTGAGCGGAGAGGACCAGCAGAAAGAGCAGGGGCAGTGGCACAGCACCGGGGTAAGGCAAGGGCTATCAGGGATTGGATGGGACCGGTGCAGGGCACAGGACTAAGAAGGTAGGCTGGGATGTTGGGACACTATCTGGCCCAGAGTGGAGTGGGCCATATATGGGTTCTTACCGGTGGTACGGCCAGAGGCATAGAGGGACAGCACCGCCTGGATGGCCACATACATGGCAGGCACGTTGAAGGTCTCAAACATGATTTGGGTCATCTTCTCACGGTTAGCTTTAGGGTTTAAGGGGGCCTCAGTGAGCAGGGTCGGGTGCTCCTCAGGGGCCACACGAAGCTCATTGTAGAAAGTGTGGTGCCAGATCTTCTCCATGTCGTCCCAGTTAGTGATGATGCCATGCTCAATGGGGTATTTCAGCGTCAGGATACCTCGCTTGCTCTGGGCCTCATCCCCCACATAGGAGTCCTTTTGGCCCATACCCACCATGACACCCTGTAGATGGAGACATCAGACACTTGTTACTACATATCGGGGGAAGCTTGGGCTATACTCAGTGAACCTACCCTTTCCTGCCAGCAGACTGACCTGGTGTCTGGGGCGGCCCACAATGGATGGGAACACAGCCCTGGGGGCATCATCCCCGGCAAAGCCTGCTTTCACCAGGCCAGAGCCATTGTCACACACAAGGGCGGTGGTCTCGTCTTCGTCGCACATGGTGTCTAGTTTCTGCAAGGACAAGGCCATAGATTAGTGTGTAGGTGTGTGTGTGGGGGGGGGGATTAGGGTAAAACTCTGCCCAACCCACCTTCCCTCTGGAGGTCCAGAGACTCTTTTCCCCAGCCTCTGGCAGAGGGCCAGAGGTTGCTATCCCAGCTCAAGTCTGTTTTCGCTAATGGAAGCAGTCTGTGGACCATACATGTCCTCCAACTAGGTATGCAGGGGACATCCTCTGGAGAGCCAAGACCCTCTATCCTCACGCCACAGCTGGCACTAATGCCATCCTCTCTACTTCCCAATGTCATCTGTGAAGAAGGCATGAAGACCCACTGCCCACCTGCCTGTCCTGTGAGACGGTGGAGGACACTGCCCAGGGAAGGGTAATACCATCCCAGTTATGGAGAAATTGCCTGTTTGAACACCCACAACATCCCAAACTCAGAAAGGACACTTCCACCTGTCTCCTGTTCAAAGCATATTAGCTAAGCCTTGCCAGCTAATATTTAGAATAGTTTTGGGCTCAGAAGGTAGTTGCCCCAAGGCAGAGACAACACTGAATCTCTCCAAACACGTTTTCAAATGAATATCCCAGGGGTAGGGGTGTAGCTCTGTGGGAGAGGACCCAGATTTGGTGCCAGCAGAGAAAGGGAGAGGAGGGAGGAGGGGTGAAAATAGAGAGGGAAAATAAATATATTTCAGGGAGAGAAAGCTCAACCAGCCAGAGACTGGCATGTGGCTCAGTAGAAGAGCACCGGCTCGCTCCCCTGCAGGAGGGCCTGGGTTTAGTCCTCAGTGAGGGGAGGGTGGAATATGGGGTGGTAGTAGGTGGATAATCAGAGCCTCAGGTATATCCTGAATGCTAAGTCAGCAGCTCAAAAGGGCTGGAGATGAGTTTGGAGAAATTTGCAGAGTCAAGTGTCCTCTTATTTAAGAGTGTCTGCCTCTAGGGCAGAGTGCAGGGCTAGACAGAGGCCCAAGGCTAAACAGCTACCCTCCCAACCTGGACCCTACCTGCTGCTCTGACTCTGGCCCTGGGTGCCGAGGGTGGGATGTGAGGCTTCACGTCCGTCCGTGTGACTGCGTGTCCCCTAGCTCAGGTTTTATATAGTCCCTGGGAGCTCTCACCACACCGCCCCGATGGAATGTTGCTGCCCTTCCCAAGCCATATTTGGGTGTCGGGCACTAGAGTCCCTTCCTTCGGCTGGTTCTCAGCCTGGGTCCCCGCCCGGGTCTCCAGCACTGACCAAAGAAGGAGAGGACTGGCCCTGGCCCAGGTAGCTAGGACCGGACCGGGCCATATATGGAGAGTATCCCCAGCTGTCTGCCCCTCCCAACTGGCTCCAATGCTCACTGCAGGGATGTGCTGGGCCAAAGGTCACTGTTTCTGCAGATGACTGGTCTGCATTTCCCAAACTCTACCTGATTCAAAGGTCTCTTCAGCTCTGCCCACCTTGGGTACATGACCCACTGAGAAGGTACCTGATCCCTGAAATTACATATTACACCCCATTTATGGGTTAACTTAGGCTACCAAGGCCTGTTGCTTAAGCCCAAGGGAGGGAGTCCTTGTGGCCAGGTGAGCTGGGAGGGTTCACAGGCTCCAGGTAGGTATGGGAAAAAGGCTCCACATTTGAACTCCATATTCCTTCCCACTTCAAATCCCCCCAATCCAGAGATCTGACCCACATATCCCCTACTCCCCCCCACCCCCCAGCACAGAATGTCAGTCAGTGTGAGCATGCAGCTGTCACAGGGCAGACAACTGTTGGAGGGGGGAGGAGGTGGCAGGGAGAAGAGGCATCGGGACTCTATGGCCCTAGCACATGGCATGTGAGGCCAGATTAGAGCTGTCCCCTACATTCTGCTGTGCACTCTTGAATAGAGGGATCAGATTGTGGAGGGTGTTTCCTAACTTCAGAACTCTCATTTAGTTGGCTGGGTTGCACAAATGCTACTACCCCATCCCCTTGGGTGGCACTGTGTCCCTCCCCTGGTCTGAAAGAAGAGTCACACCCAGAACTACTGGGGCCTGGAGCGGGTTGAGGCGGAGAGATGGTGACGGATGTCCCCTCTAAGGAGCACCAAGACCTTACACTGGAGCCCAGGAGTGGCTTCTCCAAGGCAAAATCATCTTTATATTTAGAGGATGATGCCTGTCTGTCCGGCTGCTTTCCATCCACCTTGGATCCACCACCTGCCAGGCTTGTGTGGATTCTATTTATACCGCTAATAGATGGGGATCTGCCTCTGGGTTTCTAGGAGCTACTTATGGAAGGTGGGTGGGGGTGAGCAGAGGTCGTTTGTCTCTTGGCGCCTGTCTCATTTTGGGCAGGGAGGACAAGAAAAACCAAGAAAGTGTTCTGAGGCCAACCAGGCGACATACTTTGAGGGGTACATCACAGACAAGCCACCATGGAGCCATTCATTTTTCTGATGGCTTAAGCGTTCCCAAAATAGTTGTTCACATTTGGAGTGGAACTCGGCAGCTGGGACAGGTGCAGATCCTCTGAGGGCAGAGGCATGCTGAGGCTCCTTCAGACTCCCACACAGCTCTTCCTAAACTGTGGGCTGCACAGCCAAACAGGGCCATCATTAGCTCTGTGGCTTTGCCTTTACTCTCTGCTGGGGCAACAGAACTATTAGAAAGAAGCAAGCAGCAAATGCATAGTACGTAGTTTTGGGGAGTCATTTATTTGGGTCATGAGTATAGGGGGAAATGTGTTGATGCCCTCCCTGGACATCAGAGGAGCTGGGCTGTAAGTACTGCCCCAGATTGTAGTAAGTCCGCTCACTGTGACTCTTAGTATCCCACTACAAAGTTTTCTCAGCTCAGTATGACATTCAGCACATCCAAAGTCAACCTTGAACAAATGTCTTTGAACTCTAGGAAACCACACGTGGCAGAGCAGCAAGCAGGTGAGCAAGGTAGGTGCACACTCCAACCTCAGCTGCAGTTTCTTCCTTTTCTGACAAGGTCTTTTTCTCTGGAATCCTAGCTAGACTCACTCACCATCTTCCTGCTGGCCTCCCAATGCTGTGAGCAGAGCTGGTATGTTCACACTTCTTTTCTCTACTTTGCCCCTTCACTTCTCACACCCTATTCGCCCTCACACTACCCAGAGATACACAGGGCAGGTAACAGGTTAACAGTGCAATGGGCAGCAGCACAGAGCCACAGGAAGGTGCACACATGGCGGTGGAGGACAGCTTTGTGGAGTTGGTTCTCTCCTTCCACTCTCATGTAGAGTCTGGGGATTGAACTTGGGCTGCCAGGCTTGCTGTGCTTGCCTGCTGAAACATACATTGGCCTCAGAAACTGGCTCTATGGAGTAACACACCCCTTGTTTTTATTAAGGCCATGGTACATCAAAATGCACTCCTGTACATGGGACCTGACATCCTAGCAGGTGAGGAAAAGCTTTTGGAAAGGCTTTGACTGAGAACAGAGCCAAGGTGTGCAAAGTACTCATCACACCTCATATAAAACAAAAGGTGGTCCAATACAGTCCAAGGCCCACTTCAAAACAGGAACCCAAGGCTTCCTGGTTAAACAGTTACTTTCCACATGCCTTTAAAAAATGTTCTAGCCAGGGATAGTGGTGCACACTTGTAGTCCTAGCACTTGGGAGGCCGAGGCAGGAGGACTGAGAGTTTGAGGCCAGCCAGAGCTGCATACTGAGACCTTACCTTAAAAAGAAGTTTGTTTTATATATGTATATACTGTATAATACACACATGCAATATATTCATATAATATATATGTGCATACTATATGTATATATACTTTTTAGTACATATTGTATTTAATATGTAGGTTCTTGTCATCTTCAAATGGGGTCTCACTATACAGCAGTGGCTGGCTTAGAGCACTCAAATTCAGATCTACTTAGCTTTGCCTCCCAAGTGCTAGGATTAAAGGCATGTGCCACTACATCATGTGAACTTTTTATACATGAATAATCATTCTGAGGACAGAATGGGAGTGGGTGGGGAGGCTGTAGTGGGACTGTAGTTAGCCTGGAAACACTCAAGAATATGGGACAATGATAACCTAAGATGCCGTGAATCCATCTTGGAGATTGCTGGCCTTTCCCATAGCAGCCAGTCAAGAGAATAAAACAATGAAATCTCTGCCTCTACGCCCATACAGGCTGCCAGGGCCCCTCACTGGGGTTTACAGAACAACATGCATGAGCAGAAGTGTTTGTGAAAGGACCAACTATGGCAAAACTAGAAACAATCAGGAAATCATAGACTCAGGCTCACTGAGTCAATACTGAGATTACAGCCAATGCAACAACTATATTTGGTAGCAGAGACAATTTACTGATAGCTCAGAAAGCCGCACAAACATCTTACTCACTAAAACACTTTCATTAAGATTCATCCATTATTGATGGGTGTGGTGTCCTTTAACCCCAGGACTTAGCGGGCAGGTGAATCTGTGAGTCTGAGGCCAGCCTGTCTACAATTGTGATTTCCAGATCATCTAGCTACATAAAGACCTTATCTTCATGCTTTGTTATTGTTGTTTGTTTTAATCAATGTAGAAAGTGAAGAACATTCTCAATGAGTTACTAGCTGTCAAGTTTCAAGAGTTAAGACCCTCTGTATTGGTTTCTCAGTCACATAGTAAGTCAGTAAAATCTGACATTCATTTTGCTAAGTAGGTACTTCCCGATGGCTTTGATCTAAGGAGATACCAACATCCCAGAGACTCTTCAGTGTACCACATCCACAGTCAGTGACTCCAGAGACTGATTAGGGCAATCTTGAAAAACATTGTTTTCCTTAATTTTCTGAAATTAAAATATAATCATTTTCCCCTTCCCATGCTCCCTCCAACACCTCATATTATTCCCTGCTCTCAAATTCATGGCCTCTTTTAATTGTTGACATAAATATATAAACACAACCTGCTCAGTCCATAGAATATTACTTGTATGTATATTATTTAAGGACTATCATTGGATAACCAACTAAGGGGTGGGCGAGGCAATCTTTTCTGTTTTTCAAGTTAAGGCCTTGCTATGCTGGCCAGCCTGGCTTTGAACTCAGTATCTTCCTGTCTCAGGCTCTAGTGTTGGGATTACAGGTACATGTCACCAAACTTGACTCAACCTTACAATCCTCAAAACAGACATACTGTGCACAAGGAGGCAGTGCCTCAATGCACCAAAGGAGGCTGGAGAAAGAGCAGCCACACAGAAACAAGGCTGACTTCAAGTGGGGAATGGGAAGAAGACATCTTATAACTGAAAGAAAATTAGGGTCCTGCCCCATTTTATAGTATAGCTCCCAAATAAAGTGTGAAAAAACCTGGCTGCCACAGATGAAATCATATAAACTTCAAATTGATTTTTTTTTATCTCAAATTTTTTACAAGCAATTATTTATACAAATTTTAAAACAACAATTTCTACAAATGTCACATTTGTCCTTGGACATAATACTCATAATTTGCTTTTAGAACAAACTCAAAGTAAGGATTGGACTTCAGGGTTCCCAACTGCTCTGCTTGAAGTAGGTCCTTTACCTCTGGTAAGTATTCGCTGAGCTGGATGCCTGAAAACAAAACACAGACACTCATGATTTCAGAGACTCCCCAGTGAATGAGAGGCTGGTGATGGTCATTAACGCGCCCCACATCGGAGCCTCCTCCCAGTCACAGTGCCCTTGGTCTGACAACTGCCTCGTCAGTGCCACCTGGAGGCTCTCACTGGTCAAAGCAGCCACTCCAGGTGAGGTCTGTGGTAGTCTGCAACTGTCATTTTCTACTCTTTCAGATGCCTTTAATCCCACACTTGGCACTCAGGAGTCAGAGGCAGGCAGATCTCTGGTTTGAGGCCAGCCTGGTCTACAGAACTAGTTCTAGTTCCAGGACAGCCAGAGCCACACAGAGAAATCCTATTTCAAAAACTCAAAAGGCATTTCTTCAATGTGGAAGTTTTCAACTAATAGTCATTTCTGTGTTACCCTAATTGGGGAATAATATAATAGAAATACTGTCACAGAGCTGGCCACAATACCGTAAAGGTGTCTGTTTAACCTGGGTGCCTGTTCTTCCAGCTCTCAGTAAGGATTTCTCCTTCCTGTACAGCTATAGCTGTCCTGGAACTTACTTGCTCTGTAGACAAGCTGGCCTTGAACTCAAGAGAACTTCCCGACTCTGCCTCCCAGGT